TTTATCTAAACAGACGTACTAATTATATGTACAAACACGAAGTTCACAAGTACAACTGTCATATGCACAATGTAGCGCAAACTTAACTTTTCACTGCCTAAAATTTGCAAGGTCTTTAAAGCTTCAAAACGCTTTTATGAGATATTTCTTTTCATAACACATTATCATGCTTAATTAAGATAATTTATAAAAACATCAATATATCTTATCTGGTTTTTAAATGTCAGACATAATAAAAACGATCCAAGTGCTTTACATAAAATGATTTTATTAATATGTTGCTAAAGAGTAACGACTACTTAAATAAATAAAAATTATTTAACTAACAAATAATATCGTTCTGCAATTGTAAAATTTTAAACATCGGCCGCGATTGGATTACTACAAGATAAAACAGATGGGTTGTCTAATATATATTTATACACTACATAACGTAACATAAACACTCACGCTTTTCACCCAGAGGGGTAGGGAGATACTACGGACCTCCATTTGGCATTATCCTGACACACCTCTCTTGCTTACATACTCGTCGGTTAACGGTACTGTTAATCTGGCCCATTTTTAATATATTGCCAATTTTATCGGTAAATTTTCGTCTAGGGTGTCCCCGACTCTGCCGTTCACTTCTGGAATATAAATTTGCTTTGTCACTCTCTCCTCGGTCATTCTTTCTACATGACCAAACCACCAACGCATTCCTTTCTTAACACAACATCATCTTGCGAACCACATTTTTCCCTTGTCACACAATTTTCGCCCTGTCATTCAGATTCAGCCCTAACATACTCCATAACACGCTACCTTTTATGAAATGATATGATAATCGTTCCACATACATTCGTATCCCATCGTGCAATGTACCAGTTTACCAATTACATATTTATACTAATTTCATTATTTTACATAATAGTCCAGTCTCCCTACGCCTCCTTGAAAATAAATAACATTACTGAAGTAAGTTATCGAAAGAATAGGTCTCTTTTAATAACCCTACGTTTGAGGAGACTTACAAACTGTATTAAAAGTAACTTTTACGAGGGGTGATCAAAAAGTAATGATAATGAAAATAAAACACGGTAATTAAAGTTAAAATAATAATTTATTTTTCTACATAGTCTCCTAACAAATCAATACATTTAGTCCATCTATTTTTTAAACCCAGGATTCCCTTTGAAAAAAATTCTTTGTCTTGACCCTCCCAAAACGCTTCAACAGCGGCCATTAATTCGCTATCGTCTGCGAATTTCTTGCCTCGGAGGCATTCCTTGAGCCGAGGAAAGAGGTAGAAGTCACTAGGAGTTAGATCTGGCGAATAGGAAGAGTGTTCGAGCAGTTCGAATCCCGTTTCTTGAATGGCAGCCATCGCAACTGCGGCTTTGTGAGCCGGTGCGTTGTCTTGGTGAAACAGCACTCCAGCTCGCAGTTTACCGCATCTTTGTTCCTTAATGGCCTCCCGTAATCTTTTTATTTGGTCTGCGTAGTAAGAGCCCGTAATAGTGGCTCCCTTTTCCAAATATTCCACCATAATAATGCCTTGAGCGTCTCAAAAAACAGATGCCATGACCTTTCCCGCCGAACTTGAAACTTTGAATTTCTTTGGCGTCGGTGAGGAGGCTCGCTTTCAAGTCAACGCTTGTTGTTTCGTTTCAGGATCGAAATGGTGGATCCAGGTCTCGTCCATAGTCACAAAACGGAACAAAAATTTTTCTTGATCTGCTTGGAACTTTTCGAGATTGACCCTCGAAATGTCAACTCGATTTTTCTTTTGCTCGTCGGTTAACATTCTGGGTACCCAACGCGCAGAGACCTTTTTCATGTGCAACTCGTTCGCAAGAATTCTTTGAACGCTGCCATATGAGATCCCTGTGACCTCAGCTACATGCTGATGGTCACTCTTCGATCTGCCAACACAACATCTTCGTCTTTTTTCACGTAGTCTTCTGTGAGGGACGTGGACGGTCGTCCTTCGCGATGTTCATCTTCAGTGGATGTTCTGCCCAGTTTAAACTTCTTGGCCCAGCGTGCAACTGTAGAATATGGAGGAGCAGAGTCCCCCAATGTTTCCATTAAGTCACTGTGTATGTCTTTTGAAGACATTTTTTTCAAACAGAGGTACTTGATGACAGCTCTAATTTCGTTTTTCTCCATGTTGATGTTATCTCTTTGACAGTTCGTATTCAAATGAAGTATCCCCCGAAATGCACATCTGTCTAAGATCTTAACCATATAAGCGCCTCTTGGCCTGTATCTCCCGGAAATCGTGATCTATTTATATGATTTTTTTAAGCTGACGTAGTGAGTATATAAGCAAGCAAATTTTTTTGGATTTTTATGCGGACCTGAAGTAACCGATTATCATTACTTTTGGATCACCCCTCGTACAATTTTATTCTTTAAACCGAGGCGTAAAAGAATCCATCACCTCATTCCGTCCCGTAGGCCTCATTCGAGGAAATACCAGAAAAATCTTATGGTTTCCGATAAATTTCGGATTAATCATCCCGCTTACGCCAGAAGCAAAATAAAACCATTTTTTTTTTTTGCTTTTTGATATCGCTTTGAGTACACGACATATCTCACTCGTGCAATTTATGTTATCCTATATATCTCACCGCAAAAGGCAAATCGGCTTTGGAATTCGAGTAGATTGCATGTAAGATATTCTTAATTTAAAATTCGTGAGCGTCTAGATATTTTTTTTAAAAATTAAAACGCATAACGTTAGCAATCATTTATTTTAACATAATTTTTCTTTTAAGAAATAATGTTTCTTAATGGCCTTTTTCAAATCCATTTTAATAAATAATAAAAACGTTAAAAGGTTTTTACAGTCGCATATTTTATTTGGATAAAGAATATTGTTCTTCCAGTATCGATCGTCTCAGCTCTATTGTTTATAAACGTCAAAAATATATGTCATGATACATTACCTTTAAGGTACATTTATTTCATTCGAGGTATGATAAAAACTAGTATTACGCACAACCGGAGGAAAGTATGACATTGCAACCGGCGTGTAAAAAGAAACTATCCATCTATTTGACATTCCTGTAGAATTTCCTGTATGGTGGTAGCGTTAGATAATCCCCTTATTTTCATCTTAACCCGCAGATTTTAAAGGTACAAGACGACTGATATTACGATCACCAATCCTCCCTACAAACATGAAAACTACTACAAATCCATCCAACTATGGGATGGAACCCATGTACGGACGAGAACTGTCGACGCGGTGATCAAAACAAGGCCAAAGATCCTGCCGCAATATAAATATGAATTATTTCAAGTTCAAGTACTTTCCAGAATTGTAGAATTGAACCCGTAACTTAAAAATTAGCATATTATGTTGTAGTTAACAATACTTGCATGATGTAATGAAACGTCTGAAGGACAACTCCAAGAAACATTTAGCGCGATTTTGAAATCAAACATAAAATATTTACCATTCTGTTTATGGCATTTAAGTACCGCTAAGACATTTGTAAAAATTTACGTACAGCCTTCAGTAACACTAAAATATTAAATAGTGCTCTATGGTTGAAGTGTTTCCGAATTCGAAATTGAGCCGTCACGCCTGTCTGAACAGACGCATACAATTACGAGCTCCGTAAAAAAAACGGATCACAACAATGCAAGCATCGTCCTTCGATCCTAACAAAAGGCAAGAAAGGGCAAAGGAACTCGTTTACCATAACCTTGAAACTTTCACTGGCTACCTACGCATTTTATGCTGCATCTAATATTGTTGTCAATATCAACTCAAATATTTAGTTCATTTTCATAATAAAGTATATTTTTAGCAATAATCACATACTTATTTTGATAACTATGTGTTATTATATTGTAAGTATTCATCTTATTAATCATCATCATCATTACAGCCCTTCACAAGTCCACTGCTGAACATAGGCCTCCTCCAAGTAATGCCACAAAGCACGGTCGAACATCGACTTCCTACATATCTTACCAGGTCGTTACTCCATCTAGTGGGGTGTCGCCCTACACTACGCCTACCGGTACGAGGCTGCCACTCGAGAACCTTTTTTCCCCATCGGTTATCGGTTCTTCGAGCTATATGGCCGGCTCATTGCCACTTCAGCTTACTAATCCGTTGGGCTATGTCGGTCACTCTGGTTTTACTGCGGATATCCTCATTTCTAAGTCTATCACGCAGAGAAACTCCGAGCATAGCCCTCTCCATAGCTCGCTGAGCGACCTTGAGCGTCCTCATACGGCCAGCAGTGAAGGACCACGTCTCAGATCTTATTAATAATTAAATGTATTATTATGGTAGTGATTCGCTAAATTAAAACAGAAAGTAACGAAACTTGGATGGCTAAAACTCTGCAGCATTATTGGCTATATTTCTGTCGGTGGCGCGTCAATTATAATTACGTGACACGCACACATGATAGGATTTCGTTGTGGGTGTTTATGCGGCGGCGAGTATTACCGTTATGGAGGCACATACCAGTGACGTCAACGAGGTCTTTCTTGTACCTCCGATGCCTCACGAATACGTTATAAACAGACTAGAATAGTTATTACTGAATAACTTATTTAATTCGTCATGCCTTTTATATACATATAGTTTTCCCGTTTGATAGCAGTAAGAGAATCTAGCCATCCACAACGTCTCTTTACTGTCATAAGAGACGATAATATGAATTGAGAGGAAGATTTTAGGTCTTCTGAAAGACAACAGTGTAAATAATATCTTTGCTGATTGGAAAATACCCAGACAGTGACGGAGAACAGCTTGCCAAGCAGCTTAAGGCAAATCCCCCTAATATAGTAGAAGTTTATGTCAAGCTCAAGTAGTGGATAGTTTACGGTCTGATGAAAAAGAACAAACTAGTTATACCGTATTAGACATATGTTTCCCACACAGGCTTTTACGTAGTTTTTAAAATTAAATTTTGTTAGTAAAATTAACATTTCATAACACATTTTGCGTAAAACATGATATTAATTTTTGAATTTTTGCTCTATTTCAGATCGAGATGTGTTTGGAGAAAGCAATGGAACAAGACTTACACAAGAACGTCGTACTAAAGAGCCTAGAAGGTTTATATCTTCCATACTTGGGGGTGATATACCGTATGGTAGTCACCGAGGGCATGTCCTTACGCAAGCTGAAAGGAAGCTATATTTGCCAGTCGAAGAAAAAAAACCTGAAGACAATTCTCTGATCAAAGAAGAAAGAGATCCGTTAGAAAGTGAACCTGTTGTCCTCCCACCTAGAAACTCACCATCGCCAGAATCAGTACCATCTCCTGGTGTTGATAATAACGTAACATGCCAAAAAGTATCAGTTATTCAGCGGACACCATCACAGTCACAGTTTCGTGATGGTAAAAAAAGAGTTGTCAGATGTAAACATTCCACCTACTTTGCCTACAACTGAGCCAGAACAGGATCAGCCTATCGATTACGCAATTGTTAAAAAACGCGGGGAATCTGAAGACGAGGAAACGGAAAAAAAGATAAGGGAACAAAGAAGAACAAGCAGCTCGAAAATTGCCAATGGTATTTTAGCTAGACCTGTACTAGTTCTGCGAAATTGTCCAGGTAACAAAGTTCCTGGAATTATAAATGCTGCTGCGGGCCATGGTAGATCGACCGGAGGAAATGGATCAAATTCGGGTACCCAGAGCAGTGCAGGTTCGGGAAGTTTTAGTTCTGGTGGTGGAAGTACAGCTCCAAGCTCAGGTGGAGGAGGAGCTCTGGGTGGTGGATCGGGAAGTGGTGGCAACGGTCGAGACGGTCGATCGAATTATGGACCAAACAGTCCACCTACAGGTAGCCTACCACCGTTCTACGAAACCCTTGGACCTTCCACTAAAAGTGGACAAAACTCTTTTAACGCTAACAGTACTTTCCCAAACGAGTTTAATATGATAAATGGTTTCAATATGGAATGTGAAAATAATGAAAATGCCACAAATTTTCCAGAACAAGGAAAACAATATTCATTAATGCAGAATGCACATTACGGATTAGCTTTAAAAGATGAAGAAATTGATTATGAAAATAAATTAGAAAATTTAGGTGCTATTGGCAATTATGGAAGCAATTTCGATGTTTCAATGGTTGTTGACATGGGAGAAGATGTTATAGATAACATTCAGTTTTCAACCACATTATCATTTACGGGATCTAATGAAGGCATTTTAGGAAATCTATCGGATTCTACTGAAGATTTTGCAAACTTATTAAATAATCATGTAGAATCTATTACAGATTCCGAAATAAGAGAATCTTCATCGATAACACCAGACTCCGTACACAACCCAGTAGATATAGAGTCATTGGCAGAACAAGTAAACCTAAGTAGACAATATTATGAAAAGGCTAATTATTTGGCGTTTGCAAGCCAGGAACAAAATTCTTCATATAATTTTGCAAAGGAGCGCCCAGACTTATTAATGCATTTAAATCCAGCGTTACTACAACACAATGAGGGCCAAATGCAGCAACTACAGATTCATGTTCAACTTCAACAGAGGCAGCAAATACTTTCACCTGGTTTCCCCTTCGCTAGTCATTCTTTGGAACTCGACTCACCGACCGGTGTATCACTACCTTCGCCTGGAGGAAACAACTCTTTAGACGGAAATAGCCACATAGAAAATTCTTCGCTCAGTCCTGCTGCTGCTGTAAGTCTGAAGAAAAGTTCTGTCGCCGATAGCAAAATTCAAATCTTGCAACAAAGGGTAAGCATTCATTGATTTTAAGGCGAAGCTTTCACTTTCTTTTTCTTTAATGTCATCCCGAAAACCGATTTTAATTTACTTTGATGGCATTAAAGATTTAAAAAAAATTAAGTTATTATATAACGCTGAGCCTTAATCAACTTATGCTTCAACCTATTGTGATACATACAAAATTACTTATTTTTTAATTTACGAATAACGTTATTTTTATATAACAAATGCATTTACTCTACTTACATTATTCATCATTCTTATTTTTGATTAAGGTCAGCTTTGTCTCTAATTATTCAATTTTAATATAACAATGAATATTTTCTAAAACATTTTTGTAAATTTTACGAGTCGTTAATGAGACGGCTTATTTATTGTTACAGTTGGGTCTGCCGGCAGAGCTCCCATTGGAATTCATTAATGGTGGCCACGGTGTAAAAAATCCATTAGCCACAGAAGCTAATGCAAGACAAAGAGAGGAAGAAAAGAATAAACAAGTATTAGTTAGCGAAGACGACCCTACAAAATTTGTTTGCAGGGTCTGTTCCAAGAACTTCAGTTTGCAGAGGCTTTTAAACCGACACATGAAATGCCACTCGGATGTAAAACGGTATCTTTGTACTTTCTGTGGCAAGGGATTTAATGACACGTTTGATTTGAAACGACACACAAGAACGCACACAGGAGTTCGTCCTTACAAGTGCAATCTCTGCGAAAAATCCTTTACCCAAAGGTGTTCTCTAGAATCACACTGCTTAAAAGTTCACGGTGTACAGCACACTTACGCCTACAAAGAACGAAGGACAAAGGTAATTATACTTTATCTTAGTATGTATTGTACGTTGTAGATTAATATACGATATTTAAACTATTAGGCCAGATATAAGTTTTTCTACTGCTGGGCACAAGCGTCCTCCATTTTTTTTGAGATGGATGAAGGGCAAGGAAGCACCTGCGGCACTGGCCCGACGCGTTTCGATAGACTTCACATGTTATTGAATTATTTTTTTTATTTTTTAGACATACAGGTTTTTTCACGATGTTTTTCTTCACCGCCGAGCATGTGTACATCAGCATTTTAAATTGCATTCAACAATTTCATTGATACGGGCGGGAATCTAACCCGGGTTGATTGCGTTTTACGACGAGCACTTAGCCCCTGAGCTACCACGAATCTTACACACATACAGTTTAAATGTAAAATTCATTTGTAATTCTGTGTTCCATTGTCAATATATATTATAAAATTTGTAAATAGCTTCACTACAGCTCTACTTATCGGATCCTAGCATGGTTGTGAACCATCGTCTCGACAAAACAGTTACATTGTGTGAATATGACCCCAAATTCAATCATCTTATTTCTTTGTGTTAAGATCATGCGAAATGGAAGTACGGGTCCCCCGCCTACCCCTCTGGGTGACTGACGTGAGAGTTTATGTATGACCTCAAGCGGTCAAGTTGTTTGGAAGTCACACGATCACTAACATATGCAATAACGAACAGACTGTACGAGTATTATTATATGTGACCAAAAATAATATTTTAATGTATTTCTAGATGTACGTATGCGAAGAATGCGGCCACACTACATCGGAACCTGAAGAACACTATATGCATCTTAAGAAACAACATCCTTACTCACCAGCTTTACTTAAATTCTACGATAAGCGACATTTTAAATTCACGAATGCGTCATTCGCCAACCAACTGTTGGGACAGCTGCCAATGCCTGTCCACAATTAATATTATAAAATGATTTTACTGACTGAGCTTACATTTTAAAATCTTTAAATCTATGGGCTACAGCCTCTAGATACTTAACTATTTATTATTCACTTATTCCATTAATTGAAAATGGAAAAAGAACGGTATTATGCGATAAAAAGAAACTAGTTTATTCCGTCCGTTTTATGTGAATCCAATCGGGTTGATTAATTGACTATAAATTCCCAGTGCTTAAATAAATCAATGCGCACGAAACTCCTTTTAGTTATTTAAATAATGAGTTGTCTTCCAAACGAAATATAGTCATTTCGCGTCTTGAGTTGATTTTATATTAAAATATGGAACTTTATTGATTTTAAGTTCCCAAAAAATACCTTAATTTTTTAACAGTCAGAGGAAATTCACAGCCTTTTCGCTAGGCATGACTGCAATTAAAAAATCAAAGTATCGGGTAATATGTGCAATCTTTGGTGATGGTACGGGATTACATTGTAAGTTTAGCTTAGTTTGTAGATTAAAAAGTTTTAGTTATAAGCCTTATTTGAAGATAAAATTCATTATTGTAAGTTTCATTTTGACTCAGCGCTGGAGTGCGATAGATGTTTATAGAATGGTGCTAAATGGTAGTAGCCGCTGACTTAAAATGAAGCAAATATGAATCGGATGACACTTCTTATCCGATTCATAGGGTAACTTAAATATCAGGCTTCTCCAATGCTTGATTTATGAAGAATTGAACTCCACGATAAGGAATCTCTTTCCTCGACTTAGTGATACTAGTTTCTAATTGATTCTCAAATTATTAACACAAATTATGTCACAATTTTTATGTGTTATGTAAGTACTTAAAATAATGTTATGTTTGTTTTTTGTTGGTACTTAAAATGTATTTTTTAAATTGATGTGAGTGATTACCCTAACAGGTTCACAAAATGTCGTACCAAGTTTAAATGCATTTCTAGAAATATTTATATTATTTAAATTATATAATCGGTTACAGTCTGTGCTGTGAGTGAGTGTGAGAATTATTTGTGTAACTAAGTTATTTAATGTGTTGATTGTTACATCATTAATCTTACATCTAGATCGAAGATGGAGCGCTTCCTCGAAATTACATATGTTAAGAGAATAAAGATGCTCAATATTTGGTACATTTGCGCTTTCACAGCGAAGCTTGTGGATAAAATATGAATTTGTAAATATTTCTAAATTTAGTAAATATTGAGAAAATAAAATTGTCTACTTTGTTTAGTAGTACCTAATTAGTATATAATATGAGATTTTATAAAAAATAATAAATTTGTTAAAATATTTTGTACAATTCGATAAGATTTCATAGATCTGAAAATAATACTAGATTGGCTTATCATTGGTTGTTCAGTATACGAGTAAAAGGTAGCGCAGTATCTTGATTAAAACTACATATACTTGTCAGTTGCATTTACTAGCATTTTATTCCAATATCAAACTGTAGTTTCATATTCTTAGAAACAAACACTTTGTTACTTTGTACTGATAAGCAATATATTATGATTAGAACATTGCTTTTTTCCTTTATTTTCAATATGATATAAATAATGTCCTCCAGACCTAATTTCGGTCACGGCGGCAAGTCAACTAAAATAACGGACGGTACAGCTTTACGTGCTTTCCAAAGCACGAGGTGTTACACAGCCAACTGCCTGCCTCCGGGATGCTACTGAGAAATTTTGTCAGAAAAACCTAATTACTAATTTTGGGGTACTTGAGATTCCAAACCACAAGATCATCAGTCACTTTTACGACCACTAGATTTAAGAGGCATTCTTATCTCATTTACAATTAAAGCTCTCAGGCTGTGCCTCGGTGTGCCAGGGTGTGCCTCGTCACCTTAAGGTGGCCCTAGTCGATGGCAAGAATTAAGTGGTGGGCGGGGTTAAAATTCATGCCGTCTCAGCCGACATCACGTGCGAAAGCGAAAGGCATGATGATTTACAACAAAACGAGCGCTCGAAGTTTTATAAACAGACCTTTAGGAATCTGGATATCATGAAAAATCTATTGAATGTATCTGTTCAAAATAGAATTATTTGTACTTTTGGACAACTAATCTATACCTGTATGGTAACTGTTTTGCAATTTTCGTTCTTCTTATGGTATTTATTTCCGCACAAAGATGTGTTAAAGTTAGTACTTTTAAATTCTTTCTTTACTTTTTTGTTTCCATACAGGGCTAGATAATGATGAGACAAATTCATATCATTTTTTTATTTTGAACGTACACCATCAAACAGTGGAGTAATCGCCAGACTACGTTTGTATGAAAGAATGAGTGGCTAGTGCACCCTTAAGTTAGATATTATAACGCAGTCCCTGTCAATTTTTTTAGGATATGGGTGACAAACAGCACAAAGTCCACCTGATGGTAAGTGGATGCTGTGGCCCATAAACATGTACATTTAACCTCGTTTAAGAATCAAAATGCAGATGCGTTGACGTCACCCTTGAGGACTGAGGTGGAATCCCTAGATTACTGAAAAACGAGTCTCCGGTTTTCTACACTCACCATACGAAACAGCAGCATTAAGATGCTATTTTACTCTGGTATTCTGTGAAATCGTGTACTTTCCCTCGTCGAGCCGACCTATTCATGCCACAACCATAATAAGCTACAGCGTGGCTCTACCACGTACAAAATACGTCTTCTTGCACGGTTTTCTCTTCAACTCTTCGAAACTTCTATTCTTCTACTGAACAGATCAGAGTGTAATCATTCCGTTAGTGTCCCCGTTCCAGCACCGTCTGCGGCAAGACGCACTGGTAAAACCTGACGAAACTTCACTATCATTGCCTATGAGCTGCTTTTCAGTACGTAATGTGCTTACATAATCGTAAAATCTACCTGAGGTAGATTGCTCGTAGCTTCAAGGCTCACCATAATTAATAACTGGAAAATGTATGCTTCTGTAAAGTCCTATTGGCCAACTTTTTGAACACGGTGATAAACCATTGCTTCACAATTGGTTTACAAAAAATCTTGGCACGCAGGAACTACGATAGCAGTCTGCTTCATCTTTTATAAATATTTTGCACACTTTTATCTTCTTACTTTCATTAACCTTTGAACTTAACAGAAAGAGGACAGCGTTTACTTTGACAACTGACAGACTTGTTTTTTTACTTCACACTGCTAGGAATAAAAAACCTAGATAACGTTGAAGAGAGAAAATATTGTTTCTAAACATTGTAGACGCATGTAAGAAATCTGCAAAACTATTTGGAAAAAAAATTCAATAACTTATGATAGGGTGCGGAGTTTGCAGTGCCAGGGCACCGATTTTGCGTTCACCAACCCAACTGCCGTGAATGCTTAACGAATTATCATAATTATTAAACCAAAAATAAATTGTTGCATATAATGATTAAAAACAGCAATACAAATTAGAGTAGAACTACCTTAAATAAGATTATGAAAGCGTGAATGTGTATCACAAACATTTGTTGTACCGGACCGGAATTGTTTTGTACCGGACCGAGCACTGGAGAGTCTGTATCGGTTAGTTCATAGTTTCTCAGTATATATCTCTATTAGATTTATCAGTGTAAAAGTGAATATCAGTACCGATACGTGCCAACTACCGGTGCACAGAAGAGTTCGTATCAGACCGAGATTATTCCGCACCAGTAACGGATGCGTTAGGATAGTATGTCGACAGTGGTGATCAGATCGTCCAGTACAACAGAGCTTGGAGTAACTCGCAGGTTTGAGGTCACTGTACTGGATCTCTGATCTCTGGATATTACCAGTGATTAACGTATCTCGTCTGCAACCAATTAAGTTCAGTACATAATTTAGTAGCAGTTGTTTGTGTTGTCTTTTGGTAACGGTAGTACCTATTATATGAGATATTTCGCCTTGTACCTTAAGGCAAATCTTTCAAAAAATGCTTGCCAAATGGCTCATCATATTAAATAAATACAATTTTATTGTACATAGTAAACAAAATTTACAAATTACAGAAAATGTGCGTTGAATCATATTGCAAAACCATATGATTCAACGCACTTTTGTACTATGGGTGACCCAGAAAACCTTTGCATGGACAGAAACTTAAATTACTTATGAGACGAAGGTAAGCACTTAAAGTAAATTGAATTAATAAAGTACATAAATACTAATTATATATCTTAAATATCTATAAATTACGTGTCACGTTGTTTGTCCGCGATGGACTCCTAAACTACTACACCGATTTTAATAAAATTTGCGCACCATGTGCAGTTTGGTCCAACTTCAGAGATAGCATAGTTTTTTTTTGCCCATGACCCACAATTTTTTTGCGTATTTAAGGATTTTTAATAGGACATAACAAAGGGTCGTCGAAAATAGCAGAACAACGTCTGCCCGGTATCTTTATATATTTGAAATAAATGTCTTACAGACACTAGAATATATAAAATAGTTTGAAAATTCAAAAATGCACGCATCATTGGCGTTTCATTTAATTTTGATGAAAAATAATTGTATTCATGACTTTTGAAAATACTATATTTACGTGTTACACAAACCCACAGGGAAAAATTAAATATTCTTAAGAATTGACTTCATAAAAATCAATAAATACAAATACCAACTAAAAAAACTTTTACAACAACCTCACGCCTTAAAAAAAAAATAAAACCCCCCTTAAGTAAAAAAATAAAAATCGTTTTAAAAACAAAGGATCCCAACCTCCTTTTGCTGTCCCCCCTGTCTCGCTGATGATAGATGTGAGAGCTTGTTTAGCGCAATATTTACACCCCCCCCCTTCCCCACCACCAAAAAAAATCGATTACACAAAGTATATAACCGATATAGGCACATTTTTATGGTTCGTTTGTCCTTTGTCTATCAAAGGCTAAAACAGGTATGAAAGCGCCTTTAAATTTTTATTAGCAATAAAACTTATAAAAGTTGAAATTCATTTTACTAACAAACTACGCGTACTAGACTATTGATATGTAATAGGGAACTATAATTAAATTAATTTCAATTATAG